AAAGGCAGCACAAGAAAACTATAGACTAATGCCTGAAGTACATCATTGTAAAGATAAATTCAACAAAATACCAGTAAATCCAATTCAACAGTTTATCACAAGGATAATACACCATGACCAAGTGGGATACATCTCAGGGACTCATGCAAGGTTTAATACACACAAATCACTAGCTAATCAAATCAACAAAAGAAAAATCACATGATAATATCAACAGATACAGAGAAAGAAATGGATGAGAATCAGTACCCATTTATGATAAAAACTTTAAATAAAACTGGGCTAGAAGGAAACTTCCTTAATACAATAAAGGTCTTATATTACAAACCAACAGTCAAATACAAAACTCAGTGGTGAAAAACTGAAAGTAATCACCATCAAAACCAGCAACATTTTCCCAAGAAATTGAACAACAACAAAAAAATTGAAATTTATATAGAACCACAAAAGGCCCAGCATTACAAAAGATATCCTGAGAAAAAGGACAGAAACAAAGGCATTACATCACCTAGCTTCCAACTTTACTATAGAGAAACAGTATTACAAACAATATAGTATTGGCCCCAAGAGATAATCAATAGGAGAGAATCAATGCCCAGAAACGAGCCCTGGACATAGCAGCACTTAAGCTAACGATAAAGCAGCTATGATCCAAAAACAGGCAAAAGAAAGCCTCTAGTAAATGGTGCTGGGAAAATTGGAAAGCCACACAGAATGAAGCTGGCCTATTTGCAAACCTAGTACACAAAAATAACAGATGATGATTTTAAAAGCAATAAATTTCTTATACTTACAGCTAAAAGTTTATCTCCAATCTGAAGTTTACCATCTTTATGTGCAGCACCTCCTTCAATTATTTTGGTTACATAGATACTATTATCCCCAGGAATATGCTGGTTTCCAACACCTCCAGCAATGCTGAATCCAAGACCTGTATGGAGTACAAAGGTTTTAGAATTTCATTAATATATGAACTTAAATGCAGGGGGAATAAAGTGATAGTTGATAATTTTATTACACTACTATTTTTAAAAACAGAAACTTATGACTTTTAAAATCCTAAAAATTTATTCTGCAATCTGAGGACAATTTTAATTATAGGTGTCCCCATAATTATAAATTGGTTCCTTCTCGCCATCTACACCTGGCCAGGCTACTTCTGAAAGTATCATTTTAAACAAATTTGTAAATTTGTTAGATCAAAGAATAATCACAAAATTATAAAATATTTCACTTTTGTATCCTTCATAGCTGTACTATTTATTTCCATTGTTTCTAATATTTCATAAAATGAAAACAATTGAGAAAAATAGAATTAAGTGCCTTCAGAAATGTGGATAATTTTGTTCTTTCTTCCAATTAATTTTAAATAAGGACTTTATAATTCATATAGTCTACTGATTCAGTACCAGACAAATTCATAGCTCTCTATACCTTTTCTCATTTGTTAGAATACCACTTTTACTAGAAGCTGTCAATTAATCAATGTTTCCATTTACTTTCAGAACTACTGATATTTTCAAAATTCAGAATTCACACCTTAAAAGTCCTCATTGCAGATATAATTGCTAGTGACACTTTAAATACTTTCTTCTTTTAACTTAGTCTGTGTACTGGCATTTAATATAATTTGTGGATTAATGACTGCAAGTTAATATCAGCACTGTACATGATTTTAGTATATTTTACTAGAATTCTACTTGCGATAAAAATCAGTAGAAACAACAGAAAGCTAAAAAATTAATACAAGTCCTGCAGATTAGCAGTGTTGGTAATGTTAGAATATATGCTAGAAATAATTTTACAATTAGTTTAACTTGGAAATTTCTTAAAATAATTTCTTAGTGTCCCCTATCTCATACCTTTAGGACCTTTAATGAGTTTTATTTCCATTATTTTTTCCGATACTGGTTTCCGCCTTTTTACATACAAGTGCACAATAGAACCTGCTTCTTTCAATGCTTCAACTGCTTTGCTATGTGTTACATCATGAACATCTACTTCATTTACTCGCAATATACAGTCATTGACCCTAAGGGAAGAAATATTAAGAAAATTAAATATTAAATTTAAATGTTCTTGCTTACTTTGCCAAAAATCTTGTCATATTCACTTCTAAGGTAAAGAGAATAATTTATTAATGAAAATACAGGTGAAGAAACTATGCTAAATTTCAATGTGTCACATATGCATCTCCCAAAGGCTAGCAAAATACTGCAAATGACAGACTATACAAAAAACATGAATGACAGCTGAGACTTGTATCTTTATTAAGTAAAGGTGTTAAGATACTTCATAAAAATAGCAAGTACCTACTCAGCACTAACATACTATATACGTCTATATTTGTCTTTTAGTGTTTTAACTCTTACAACTTGTAAGACAGACATGTATTTATAATGTTATTTTACAAATGGTAAAACTGAGGCACAAAGAGTTTAAAATATTTCCTAAGGTCCCCAGGATATGACAAAGTTGTGATGTAAGAATAAGGAAATTGGAAACTCAGACTGCATAAAGTAAGGTCAGAGAGATAGATAAGTGGCAGAACTGAGATTAGTTTGTTGATGTATCAAAAAATAATTTTTAATTGTCTTTATCCACCCAGATACAAGATTTTAAAAATGAAGTTATGGTGAAATCCCAAACAAGCTAACATAAATGAACTAGGAAAAGAAGAAATGAAGCTCAAAGCCAGAAAAAGGAAAATAATAGAAATTAGAGCAGAAGTAAATAAAATAGAAAAACACAGAAGGTGAATTAAAGAGCTGTGCTTTAAAAAAAACTGATAAGGCCCTCCCTGGTGGCGCAGTGGGTTAAAGCACAGCCCTAAGAAGCTTAAGCCACTTCGGCATGAGTTGATTCCCGCCTGCCCTGGAGGAGATCCACATGGTGCGGCAGACCTCTCCTGATCCGCCCGCTGCTCCCCTCAGCAGTATACTT